GTACTAGGCTGTTTCAGTCTTTGTGCTCCATCCTCTCAAAACCAGGCTTCCATAATCAACGTGGTAGGAGAGAGGGTGCATGGAGAATTCTCACTGCTCTCCTATGAATTAGTTTGCAAATGACACATGCCACCTCTGATCATAGCCCATTGGTAAGTATATTAGTCAGTCCTAATGCAAGGAAATGGAAAAATTTGGAGGATATATGCAATATTTGGTGAACACTACTATCTCTGCTACAAATGAAAAATGATAGACTGGAAAAACCACCAATTCTAGATAATGATGCATCACTGAATCCCCCTAACCCAACAAAACACACAAAAAGAAGTTAAAAGGGGGAAAAAACCCCAGTCAGAATTTAGACTGTAAACCTAAGTGAAAAATATAACTTTTTTTTAGGAGCTAAAGTATTGAAAATAGAATATGCTACAAGAAAGAGCTTCAAGGATAAAATATTTTGCTTGGTGTGTGATGGAATTTATCCATTTTTCTAATAACTGTAGTCCCAGAAAGAAAGTTTATTCTCTGGCAGGAACTCTGAACATTTTACCTATTTAGGTGACCTCCTTTTACAGTTATAACATCAGCAAAGGGAAACAGAGCTGCAGACACGTTTATTTTTGAATCATCCCTAAATTATTCCATCAATTGTAATAAGAAATGTTTTTTGATTAAATCGACCATGAGATAGAAATTGCATTTAACACCTAACCTAGGTCATTATGGCATTTCAGGCCTCTAGAATTAGCTGAGGATTCTTGTTCAATAATCCTTTATGGATAGGGGTATTTTCCTTTTTCCATTAACTTGGAAAATAGACATTGGTCTCTTTGGGAAGGGCTAGGAAAAGTGTCAACCTTGGTTTTTATGGCCTCCATTTGTTTCCGTTTCCATCAACTAGCTGAATGGACAATGAGAACTGCTGCCTTTTGCTTGAGTTAACATTTTGAATACAGAATCCCTACTGTGTGTAGCCACGATGACACATTAATGTGTTTCAGACATGATTTTGAACATTTGACATTTATAAATTCACATAATCTTCAACATTTTCTATTCCAATAACAAAATCTTATTATTGAATGGTGATGCATTGGAGCCAGCTGGAGACAATAATTACTGAGGCTGAGGTACTTTTCTGAATGGTATAATGCAGTGGTTCTCAACCTTCTAGCACTTTAAATACAGTTCCTCATGTTGTGACCCAACCATAAAATTATTTTCGTTGCTACTTCATAACTGTAATGTTGCTACTGTTATGAGTCATAATGTAAATATCTGATATGCAGGATGGTCTTAGGTGACCCCTGTGAAAGGGTCATTCAACCCCAAAAGGGGTCGCGACCCAAAGGTTGAGAACTGCTTGTGTAGTGTATACTCTGAACCAGCTATCAGTATGTGGTATTCTTTTTCCTATGACCGGAATATTTTGGGTCTGAGAACCTGTCAAGCAAAGCTAAAAGATTTGACTGGTAAAGAAATGATGTACTCTTTTACTATTCAGACAGTTTGATACTTACACAGACAACAAAAGCCAAAAAAGCAAAGGTACCAGCTTCCCATGTCCTCTGTACCATAGGATTGTACCCAAACAGAGGGATTGTGGATGCCTTATGGTGTGACATGAGTGATGGTCCACATTCATGTTGCAGCCAGCAGTTGTATAGCCTACAGCTGTGCCATAAAGAGTCAGAAGGCTTCAGACCTCATCAGAACTTGGAATGAAAGAGAGTCATGATAGCGTCTGGAAGATAAGGCAATGAATAGAAAATGGCTTTGTAGCAGCTCCTCACAAGTCTCCCATGCTCTCATGTTTTGGAAAAATCACCGGGAATTCTTCCAAGGCCCAAATCAGATCAGTTGCATTTAAGTCTTGCCTATGTGTGCCGTGTGGAGACATGGAAGGTCACCAGGATGTCATGGCAGAGCCATTCCCCAACAGAACCAAGAACCGTCAGACGTTTTAGTGAGTGAGGAATGCTTTTATCAGCTGTACCAATTAGGATTCTGACCCTATGAATTAAATGTTGAAAACAGCATGCTATGCTATGTGCTTCCTGATGCCACGGGGTAAAAGGCAAAAAAGTACTCAGAATGGTAATCAGTAACCAAACTATCTAAATAACACTGGCTTTACCAAAATATATAAATAACAGTAGTTTTCTACAACAGACAACAATAAGTAAGAAACTATAATAGGAAAAAGGTCACTTCCATAATAACAAGAAATAGTGTAAAATACCTGACAGTAAAAAGAAAAAGCAAGAAATGAATAAGTTCTATGTGGGGAGGAGGAGAGGAGAGAAAACGTTACTAACAACATAATAATTTAAATAAATGGAAGCACATGATATGATTCTTTATAGAAAGACTCAATATTTTTATTGTAAATTTCACTCCAATTTATTTAATAAGAGATCTGGACAAAGCAATTTTACATTTTCTATTTAGAAAAATAAATGAGCTGAAATAATGACAAAATAAGTTTGATAAAAGAAGTGTGATGTGATTGTTTTCACATATCATTAGGCAGAATGGTCAGCGGGACCACGGGCACTTGACCATGTACTGCTGGAGGCTCTGAAGGGGGAAACAGAAATGGACAAAAATCACAAAGTAATGGGCTCAGACTGAGAACTGTTCTTGCTGATTTACTGAATTCCAAAAATGTCTTTGAAGTTTTTCTCAAATTCGGCCTCTATTTGAATTCCCAGCATGATGAATTTCTGGCCCTAAGAAAGCGAAGAGAAAAACAGTATTAGCCATTGGCAATTACCCAAAGTTTCAGTTAATCAAGATCTTCATTTTAGGCCACCCTCAAATGTTAAGTGAGACTTCATCCAGTTAGGAATAGCTAATGTTCCCGGAAAGTTTGATCATTTCTCTTTATCTGGAAGACAGAGAAACAAAAATAGTACCATCTTGCAGCCTAATTCTTCACCAAAAATTGATTGATTTAATTTGACAAAATAGAAGTTATTTGAGTTTTGAGCACAGCACATATTATTTGTAACAATATAGTAGTATGGAAATGTCTACAGTAAATTCATTGTGCCTTCCTCTCCCTTCATTCTCACCCCTTGAGGCAATCCTTGTTAATGTGTGTGTGTGTGTGTGTGTGTGCGTGTGTGTGTGTGTGTGTGTGTGTGTGTGTTATTCCTCACCCGAGGCTATTTTTCCACCCGATGTTGGTTTTTGGGAGAGTGGAAGCCAGGGGGAAAGACAGAGAAACATAGATGTGAGAGAATCACATTGATTGGTTGCCTCCTTCAAGGGCCGTGACCAGAGCCTGGGCCAGGGAGGAGCCTGCAACCGAGGTACTTGCTCTTGACTGGAAGTGAACCTTGGACCTGTTGGTCCACAGGCTGATGCTGTATTCACAGAGCCAAATGGGCTAGGCTGCAGTGGTCGGCAAACTCATTAGTCAACAAAGCCAAATATCAACAGTACAAAGATTGAAATTTCTTTTGAGAGCCAAATTTTTTAAACTTAAACTATATAGGTAGGTACATTGTTATTAATTTAATTAGGGTACTCCTAAGGCTTAGGAAGAGCCACACTCAAGGGGCCAAAGAGCCGCATGTGGCTCGGGAGCCGCAGTTTGCCAACCACCGGCTAGGGTCTTGTTAAGTTTTTGACACAGCACTAGGGGATTTGGATATAAAGAATCCAAGATTTTGAAATTTGAGAAATTTGATTTGGCATCTTCCTTTAGAGAAGAGAAACACTGAGCCTTTAAAAAGCACTTCTGTTTTCTGTGGAAGGGACTAGATCTGCAGTCTACTGTTCTCTGGGAGAAAATCAGCTATCTAGCAGTGAGCAGACTCAGATCCTAGGACAGTGTTTGCAATGATACCTCCGGTTGATTATTATATTTTCACCTCTGTAGACCACAGGGCTTTTAGAATCCTTCTAGAGTTTTTACTTGTGTGTGCTTGCGGCATGATGAGGAAAGTTGTAACATTTACCTGATGTGAGAAGAGGAAAGGCAAAGTGACTTAATCGAAAGAAAAAGGGATGCAAGGACAGCCACTTACCTCATAAATTTTCCTATGGTTCTGAAAGATGAGGCGCATGTCTTGCACGAACTCCTTCACTTGGAGGTACAACTTTGAAGCCAGTTTTTCTCTGATTTTGTCTAACCACATGCACTTCGTCAGGCTCTGAGATCGCTTTTTACTCTGTGGATGAAAGTGCCAAAGGGCAGGCTATTGGCATGGTTCCAAGTCTACTTTCTATAGACTCTCACTGCTATGACTGTTTATGTCCTTCCCCCCACAAACTCAGATGTTGAAATTCTAACTCCCAATGTGATGGTATTAGGAGACGGGGCCTTTGGGAGATAATTAGGTCAGGAGGGTGGAGTGCTCATGAATGGGATTAATGCCCTTTGTAAGGGGACCCCAGAGAGCTCTCTCCCTGTTTCTACCATGTGAGGACACAACATGAAGTTGTCAGTCTGCAACCTGGAAGAGGGCTCTCGCCAGAATCTGACCATACTGGTACTCAGATCTTGGACTTCTGGCCTCCAGAACTGTGAGAAACAAATTTCTGTGGTTGAAGCCACCCAGTCTGTGGTACTTTGTTATAGCAGCCTAAGCTGCTAGGGGCTGACTAAGCTGACTGAGACATCCATCAACAAGGCAATGATAATGGCAACTTGTTCCTATTGCATTCATATCACCAATTTGACAAATGCCAGTTTGGGGCTTTGTTGCTATTACTTACATAATATGGTTTTGGGATAAAAAAGGAGCTTTTTGACCAGTTGCAGACCTTCAAGAGGAGGAACTCACATTTCTGCAAAAAATAGAGGAGATCTTAAGTGAAAAGCAGCTTGGAGAGAATGAGCTGCTCTGCATGTTCAGGCAGAATGCTCAACGCCCAAACCCGTAGACTCTGAAACAAACACAGAACGGGGGTCTCCTTTGGATACAAATTTTGGTGTTAGGTGTGATCAAAGCACAGAGAAAGAAGCACAGATGCTTGCCTCTAGGCACCATTCCTCCAGCCCCTGCAAGACTGCTTCTTCTCTCAACTGAACAGAAAAGAGGAGGCTTCAGCTTCCCCTTGCAACTCACCAAGTGCTCCTCATGCAGCATCTTCCTTTCTAGGATCTCTGATTCCTGATGACATGGTTGACTTTTTGGGCACCTTTTCTGAATAATCTTTATCTCGCAGAAGATGCAACTCCACAGGACCCTGAGAGGCAGGACATGAAGTGAGCAGGGGCGGGTTCTCTGAAACAGCCATTGTTCCTGCAGCTGTTGAAGTCCTCAAAAGGACTATTGGTTACCACCTTGAAGCCAACTTTTCTCTTGAAAACCCCTCCTCACTAGAGTCCTATTTAGACTCAATTACCAAAGACACCCCTCCCCTAAGTATTCCGTTGAGTTAGGTGCCATAGTGGTGATGGACTCTCATTCACCTCAACACTTAGGGTTTCTAATTGGGCCACTTTGAGTATGGTAACGATCCCTGTCTGCCACCGTTGTGTATTGGCAACCAGTACCATAAAGACCAAAGTATTGGGCCCTGATGAACCATCAGGCCAGAGGAAAAGTCGGAAACCAGCTCTTGTCTCCCAACTTTGCTGAATAAGCACAGAGCACAAGCCATAGGCATCCTCTCCTCTGGCATTGCCATATCTGTACCTAGAATCTGTGCTGCAGAGACTTCTTGGAAAGGAACTCTATCAACAGAGTGTCAGATACTCTATTTTCCTCGAGAGCCCTCTCTCCCAGGTTCTCTGTGCTGGGAGGCTCTCCACAATCAGGTGGATACAATGATTCATCTTAGAGATATCATTTAGCTTCTCCCCGGGGCCACTTCAGTCCTTTCTCAGAGGCCCATTACAAATTAAGATGTACAAATTGTCAGTTATAAAAACAGTCATGGGATGTAAAATATAGCATAGGGAAAATAGTAACATTATGTTAACTATGTATGGTGTCAGATGGGTACTAGACTTATTTAGGACATCAACAGGTAAATTATATAAATGTCTATTTACTATGTTATACATCTGAAATGAATAATATAATGTTGCATGTCAATTGTAATTGAAAAAAAGAGGCCCATTACACAGTGTCCATGGTTCAGGGATGGGGACTATCTGTGGGTTCAACAAAAAAGTGGATCTGTCTTCTGCTTCTGCAGATTGCCTGACCGACTAGAGAGGTTTATGCCAAACCCCTGATGTGGCACCACTGCCTGGGAGCTACCTGAGAGCAGCTGGGTTACCTTAGATTCCTCCCCTTATGGAGGGCAATGCTTTGTCCTCATGGGGATACACACATTCCTGGTAGACATCCCCTGCCCACACCACCACATATAGATGCCTTACCAATCTCGATGTTAGCCTGCATACCATCACCTCTGACCAAGGATACATTTTACAGCAAAGGAAATGTAGCAGCGGACTCACCCTCGAATTCATGAGTCTTTATGGACCTTGTCACCCAGTGTCAGCTGATTTGGTGGACTGTGGGGATGGCCTTCAGAGGACTCATCACAGCCCCAGCTTTTCCAGCTTTGAGATGTTCCCAAGGCAGGTGGTATATGCTTCCAACTAGCAGCTAATGCACGGTGTCACCATCCCATCAAAGTGTATGGGTTAGGGAACAAAGCAGAGGAGGTGGTGGTGACACCTCTTTCTATTCCCCTTAAAAACCACTTGAGGAATTTTCACTTCCCATGAATCTACTGCTGCCAGCACAGTTAAATAGCTCTGGATCATAATTCTGGATCCTGATACTTAAGGACCCTTGTCCCTCTGCATCAAGACACATACAACCAGATAAACTTTGCAGGCTGAGTGTGCATGGGGGGAAGAGCTCTACCACAAGAAGGAAGGGCAAGAGGGGACCAAGTGTCACTAACCTGTCAGGATCAATATGACGGATGTGGCAGGTCTCATGAAAGGATCTTGGACAAGTATCACAGCAGAATAGCGTTCCTCCTTTATGGCACATCTCACATATATTTGAGTTTTCTGGCTAGAAAGGAGATAATGTAGAAATCACTGGGATCAGTGAGATTCCAGAAGGACAGTGAGATTTCATTGGACTCTAGAACACACAGATTTTGCTTGTACCAAGGTGAAACTTGTAATATTAAAGAATAACACTGAGCAGAGATATTTATTTATTTATTTATTTATTTATTTATAAAGTTTTACATATGTCTCCTTTTTCCCCAATCAACCCCCCCCATCCGCCCCCAAGCCATTCCCGCTCCGGTCAAGCTCCCTCCGCCCCAGTGTCTGTGCCCATTGGTTATGCTAATATGCATGCATACAAGTCCTTTGGTTGCTCTCTAACCCCCATCCCCTACCATTTGTCTCTAGATTGATCTATTCTTGTTTATCAAATTATTTTGATGATTATATCCCACATATGAGTGAGATCATGTGATATTTATCTTTCTCTGACTGGCTTATTTCGCTTGGCATAATGCTCTCCAGTTCCATCCATGTTGTTGCAAATGGTAAAAGTTCCTCCTTTTTTATAGCGACATAGTATTCCGTTGTGTAGATGTACCACAGTTTTTTAATCCACTCATCTGATGATGGGCACTTAGGCTGTTTCCAAATCTTAGCTATTGTGAATTGTGCTGCTATGAACATAGGGGTGCATATATCCTTTCTGATTGGTGTTTCTGGTTTCTTGGGATATATTCTTAGAAGTGGAATCACTGGGTCAAATGGGAGTTCCATCTTTAACTTTTTGAGGACACTCCATACTGTCTTCCACAGTGGCTGCACCAGTCCGCATTCCCACCAGAAGTGCAGGAGGGTTCCTTTTTCTCCACATCCTCGCCAGCACTTGTCGTATGTTGATGATAGCCATTCTGACAGGTGTGAAATGGTATCTCATTGTCGTTTTGATTTGCATCTCTTGGATGATTAGTGACTTTGAGCATATTTTCATATGTCTCTGGGCCTTCTGTATGTCCTCTTTCAAAAAGTGTCTATTTAGATCCTTTCCCAATTTTTCGATTGGATCGTTTATCTTCCTTTTGTTAAGTTGTATGAATTCTCTGTAAATTTTGGAGATTAAACCCTTATCTGAAATATCATTGGGAGATTAAACCCTTATCTGAAATATCATTGGCAAATATGTTCTCCCATGCAGTGGGCTTTCTTGTTGTTTAAGCTTTTTATTTTGATGTAGTCCCATTTTTTAAATTTTATTTTCTCCTTAGTCTACATTGCCCCAGGAGCTGTGTCTGTAAAGATACCTGAGTAGAGATTTTTAGAAGACATTTTGGTCTGCAGTGATGTTCAGGAGGAAGTGGCTGTATTAGGTCAGGAAAGTTTTCCCTATGGAGACAGAGATTCGGCTAGCAACAAAAAGGGTGAATTAAAGATAATCTGAGATATTTATTATTCTGTTGGAAAAATATGGTTCAGAATTACAGTGTCTTATCTGGTTGTCTATATTGTCTCATCAAAATTGACTCATCAAAGAGTGATTTACTGAGAATTTAATATGATGGAATAAACTCCTGAGATATCCCTGCACCTCATTTTCTCAACCATAAGTTCCCCATGAGTTTAAGAGCCTGGGAAGGTATTACTGGACGATGGATTCTGTGCATGGAGGGACTCTGGGCCTGTGACAGTACCTCTGGGTTGGAGAGACCCTGGGCATAGATGACCAGGTAAATGCCAGGCTAGACTGAGCTCTTTAGCTCTGGGAGGCTAGGGAAGATGTCCTAAGTCAGATTGGCATGAAAGGTGTGGAGGTGCCATCTCTGAATGACCAGAGAGTATGGTAATGACAACCACTGGGTTCATGGATGATCTGGTGATTTGTTCTATATAAGGAAGATGGAAGAACCCACAAAACTGAATGATGCTGGGTCTTCCACAATTTTAATATGCAGGTCCTTCAGCCAGATTTACTTTCATTGAGTGAAGTCAATAATTTGACAGTGTTTACATATAAGTATTGTGGAATGAAAAAACACAGTGAAAATGTAGAAATTATAGACAAAAGTAAGAATTGGCTAAGGAATGAATCCATTGGGTTGTGAGAAAAATCATGTTTTCTTTATTTTGTGTGTGGATGATAATCTATGTGGCAATAACATGTGAATCTCTACATATTAAATTTCTATGTATGAGGGTCATGTGTCTGTGATGGAGAAATGTCCAGAAGGTTTTGGCTCCACCTGAGCAGATAGATAACTGTTTGAGGAGAACTCTGGTGGGGGAATGTCTCACCCAATGTGTTGGTAACAGCTCTACACTTAGATGAAAATATCTTGTTTACACAGTGGGTTAGAAGGAGGAATTCACATTCTCTGTGATAACGTAGGTACAAAATAATGCACAGACTTGAGGACTGGCTCACTCAGTGATGGGCGGTTGAGATGCTGGCGGGTGGTGGGGAAGTAGGGAGGTGACAGGAAGTGCCATTCCACTTCTTCTTTCTAGAAACACTATGCTTTGTTCTCTGACTCTCTACTCCCTTGGATTTACCCCCATAACTCTGCCTCTTCTTGAAGGCTCCTCACTTAGAATGTTGGAATTCCTTGGGGCTCTGTCCTACATCCCCCACTCCTTCACCACTCCCATGACCATGCTTACCTTACTTATCCTTAGACTTTAAAACCTGTGTCCCTGGTCCCCTTCTGAGACCCTAAACCTCCACACTCTACTTTCCATCATCTCCAGTTAGAAGTCTTTCATCAAGTCTAAAATCCACCCTGTCCTCAACTATATTCCTTGTCTTCCTGTCTGTAATCTGCTCCTCTTTTAGCTCCCATCTCACCAAGGAACCCATAATTCACCCAGGAGCCCAGAATTGAACATGGATTCTGCTTTTCTCCACATCTAGATATCCAATCTATCAACAGTGTTGCAAGTCCAAATTTTTAAATAAATCATCTCATTCTCAGTGCTTCTGTGAGTTCCACTGCTACAAGACTGTAGAGGCCCTAATCATAATACCATCTTATTAGGAAAAAAAATGGTCTACTACTAAAGTTACAAATCATAACAGTCAGAATATCATCTCTGGGTCCAATGAGCTTGGATGAATTGGACTATACCCCAGTTTGTACATTCTCTTCATTTATAAGTTTAATATAAGAAGAGATACAAAACTTACATACATGTATGAGGAAATTCTAAGCTGCAATGTGTCTCTTGCCCATGTTCTCCCTTTCAATAGGAAAACTTGTATAATGCCTCATTAGGGACATCTTTGGGCACATCCCCACATAGGCCTGCTGACTCTGGCCATGTAATTGTTTATCCTTTTTGTCATAACAAATGAGATTCATGGATGCTGACCACCTATTGTTAGGCTATTGGGTCAGGTTTCTGAACCTTAGGTATCGTTAGAATGAATTGATGTCCTTCCAGTCTGGAACAATGACTGCCTCAGTTTTCACCTCCAGCCCGGAGCAGAGAGGCCATGGACAAACTACCCAGTTTGATCCAAGGCATAATGACCTGAGAGGTGACACCACCTGTCTCTCTGAATGTCTTTGGACCCCCGCCCACCCCATTAGTTATTTCCCCATGTTACACAATTGGGGAAGACTCAGTACATTTCTCTGCAGGACTCATGACAGGATGTACACCTTGAACTCATCAGCCTGGTGAGGCCTATTCCTTCTGTCTGATGTATGAAACCATCTTATCACTGCCTGCACCATGGAGTGGATATTTGAGATTTTCCTTCTCTTTCCTTATTCTTTCTTTAAAATTATGCTATCCTCTCGAATTTGCTCCTATCCCTAATCAGCAGGCCAGCCCTGCCCATTTCTACTTCAAGACCCATCTCTAGAGACCCCAGTGGTTTAGAGCTCTGCCTCCCATACTAATGGGAAAATAGGAAGGTTTCCACCAAACAAATGGAAAGGATGCTTTCACATTCAGACACCCAACTCCAGAACCATTTACCTGGCATGGCTGATGCATCTGCTGTTCTTTACTCATCACACATAGCGACATGTTCTAACTGAGTGTGAGCATGCTTCAGGGAAAGACAGCATGACAGAGATAATGTATTGAAAAGGCCTAGATTATTCTGGGGTTACAGGTGGCAGTACTTACATATGGGTCAATAATGTTATCACTGTGAGAATCTGGTACTATCTATAGAAAACAGAGAAAGATAGAGTGACAATATTGAATATGAGTTTTCATTAACCACACATTTGAGCATACTTTTTATGCAAAGGATTCATGCCTTCCCTTTGCTTGACATCTGTTTTTGTGAGTCTATATATCTAATTGGAGAATAAAAAACATTAAATTATGTGTCAGTGATGGTTTGGCCCAATGCAAATTCCATTCTGTGGATCTTATACCCAAGGTGGCTTTTGTGAAGCCATGTAGGGAGGGAGGCTAGCCCTGGTTTTCACAGATGGAGTTGGAGCTTAAATGAGAGACTCAGACTGAGGACTCATCACCCACAGCCCCCAGTGACCTCAGGGCCCAGAGTCCTGGGTGCCAAAGAAATGTTTCTGCAGACTCCAGGGCCTTCTGAAACTCTCCTGGGACACAGCACTAAAGATAAAATGGGTACAAAGTCCCAGTTCTGCATCTTTTCTTGAAGGTGAGTACCTCTCCACTGTCTCCTGAATCCCAAGGGCTTGCATTGACCTTGGGTATCTGTGAAATGACTGGGCCTCTTTTCAGCCTGAGGCAATGACCAACTCAGCTCTTACCTTTAGCTGGGGCAGAGAGGCCATGGAGAAACCACCAGTGGACCCAAGGCATAATGACCAAAGAGGTGGCCATATAACTTCCTGCATCTCTGGGTGTCCTAGAACCCCACCCCACCCCATGAGTTATTCTTCCATGCTAGACAATGAAGTTGAAACAATCATATAAGGTCAGCTCTGTCTCATATCTATTTTAAAGGATTAGTCTCACCTCTCTTATGTTTTAATGCTTAAAGAAGTTCTGGTCTCAGACACTGTAATGTTTGAAAGCAGCAAGTGCAAAAATCCCCATATTATAAATCAAATTTTACTAGAATTAATGAAGTTAGGAGCCATAGAATAAGGCCAGAGAAAAGGAAAATTAACAATACTATAGGTGAGATATAGGCAGAAAGTCATGCGATAATTACCTTTCTTGTTCTTGGTGGGTCTGGTAGAAATCCTTTCTGAAAGAGAAATGAGATTAATGCTGTGAGGAGTCTTTTTGTCCTCTTTGTACTTCTGTACTTTTCTACTGTTTTGAGTTTGGTATTTCCAGTGCCTCCCAGATACATTACTATGCTACTTTATTGGTCCCCAAAGCCTAAGATGGCCTCCTCTGCCCCTGATTCCCCAATTTAAATCACTTTCCTGTGACCATATTACACAGTGGCAACTACTAGTGACAGAGACAAAGCCACAATTACTGTCTACCTTCAAAGGGAGAAGAGTTCATGCACTTAGGATTACACTGTGATAAACTGGCCAAGATAACACCGGAGTGGAATGTTAGTTAGTAATAGCATGCATTGTGACCTGCGCAAAGGAAGTCATGATGGTTTTCCCAACATTGATAAAGCTTGGAGTTTGTGAACTATGACCTCCATCCTTAATGGAAGCCTTTTGTCATTAGGATACCTTAATCAGGCATTTCAGGGGATATCCATCGCAGCGCACAGTCAGCCTCCAATTCTTGGACCTTTCGTGGTTTCCTTCAATTTCAAATTCCCTGAGGGTGAGCTGCTTCCCATTCTTTGTCTCTATACACTTTGCTGAGATTCCTGTGAGACCGGGCAAGACAGGTTGAGCTCCCTTTGTTGCCAGGGAGTGTCCCTGACTGTGAAAACCCTAGAACTTGGCCTCCTACCGCCCATTTTGGGCTTAGAATCATCAACCCAGAAGAGCTGAGTTCCCTCTCAGGGGCCCCACAACAACCTGAAGGGCGGTGGTAGAAGGGACTTCCTGCCATGTGTGCACACTTTCCTTTACTGTGCAATGAGAAGGGCAATAATTATTACTAACATTTACTTTTAAAAAGTATTTAATTATATTCAAGAGAGAGAGAAAAAGGTATGACTCTTAAAAAAAAAAGACCAGGATTCTTTCCCATCCCTTCTCTGAGACTCAGGATAGAGCCAGGCTGAATTTCAGAGAGGGTAGATGAGGGCACATAGGTGGCCGAGTGGCAGCTGTCACCACAGCCACATCTGTCTAGTCTTGCACAATGTTGATAACCAGTTAATGACAGCAATTATTTCTCATATTTTGGATTCATGGCTATTTTATGTGGAAAGTAATTATGGAAATGTTATGTAGTAGGAAAAGTTAAATTACTCATATGCAATATAGTCATAGGGCACACATTTATACTTGTTGATGTCTAAAGAACTCTATTTTGGGAGGGGGAATCAATACTGGCTGCCAAACATTTGTGCTGTACTTTAACAATTACAATTTGCAAGTTATTTTATATATTATTCCATTTTTTTCATAATAATATGGTGAAGCAAGTTTTATTACTATTCCCATTTTGTAGAGGAGGAAGTTTAGGATGAGAGAGAAGAATGGCTTGGTCCAGTTGCAACAGACACTCTCGATATAGCTGAAACTCGAAGCCAGGTATCCTGATTCTAAAACCCATGCTCCTGGCCAGCGTAAGGTGGTACAGGTGTTGCAGGGAATGGGACTGTGAAGTTTTTGTTGTATTTCTAAAATGTGTATATTTCTACCATGATATTGAAGCTCTTGTTCTTGGGTTGGGTGCTGGATGGGCATTATAAGGACCTTTTCCTTGGGGGAAAGGAGAGATGGCCTGGTAGGCTAATGTTTATGAATTGTAAAAGTGAGGAAATGTCATCTTTCCTCCAGTCTATTTGAGATGCTGTGCAGAAAAGACCTAACAGAGCAAACCTGAGACAACTACCTTAGAAATGCCTGCTTCCAAAGCTGATCCTTGGCTGATATCTGAATGCCTGGATTTTGGGAGGGGTCCCACCGTTCCCATGGGGCATGTGCTGAACACTTGCTTTCCTTCTGGAAGTCTGGAATTTTGGCAGATGGGAGGTAAAGTGTACCTATGTGGCTAACTCCCGGTAAAAACCCTGTGACTCCTAGGCTTCCCTGATAGACAACATCTCACATGTGTTGTTATGAGTTGCTGCTGGAGAATTAAATGTGTCCTGTATGACTCCACTGGGAGAGAACCTTTGGAAACTGGCACCTATTGCCTTTGGACTTTGTCCCATGTGCTTTTGCCTTTGCTGATTTTGCTTTGTATCAACTTCATAAATCAGAGCAATGAGTTAGACTATATGCTGAGTCCTGTGAGTCCTCTTAGTAAATCACCAAACGTTGGGATGGTCTTGGAGACCCTGACACAGGTGTCTAGCCCTGAACAATATAATATCCACATGGATAGTTTTCAGTTGAAAAGCGTAGAAGAGCAGGAAACTTACCTTGTTTCATTTTCTCTTTATATAACATCCCCTTTGCTGGACCACAGGTCACAGGAAGTATAGAGCATTTAAAGTTCATATGTTTATTTCTGGGAATTCTTGGACCTGCAAGGAAGCATTATTATTATTATTATTATTATTATTATTATTATTATTATTTTCATTCCACTTTCTTCTAACTGTGCCCTCTTTCTTCTCACCCATCTTGAGAGCCTTCTTTTATAAATCAATATGTAGTGGAGGGAGTTTCCCCATGAACAACATTTTTCTTTTATGGCAGGTTAGACACACAATGATAATGTCATCCTCCACTTCTATTTTCTGAAATCCTGCATAATAGCCTCATGTGAAGGACCTGAATTCCCAAGCTTGTTGGCCACAACTATCTATTGCACAATGATTTTTCTCCTGTTTTTAAGGAAGATTTCTAGCCACATTATTGCTTTGAATTATGTGGATGGAAAAAACCCCTCAACTTTTAGTTGTCTCCCCATCTGAGGCCCCACTGGGGGAACAGAGAACAGGATGACAGTGGGGAACTTAGCAGGAACAGTGTCTGCCTTCCCTCCTTGCTCTCTGCCTTGTTTCACTTCTCCTTCATGTGAACTTTCTGTATGGCTTTCACTCTGTGAATCAGGGCAGGGTGCTCCTAGAAGAAACTGCAGATTGCCCAGGAAGAGGGCCTCTGTACCTCCTTGGGGTGGGGCACTGGCTCTGATTCTGCTGAAGTAGGGGTTGAAAGTCTTTTAAAAATATATTTTTATTGATTTCAGAGAAGAAGGGAGAGGAAGAGAGAGAGGAACATCACTGATGAAAGGGAATCATTGATAGGCTGCCTTCTGCATATTCACCACTGAGGATTGAGCTCGTAACCTGGGTATGTACCCTGCCCGGGAATCTAACCATGACCTCTGGTTTATAGGTTGACGCTCAACCACTGAGCCACATCAGCCAGGCTGAAAGTCTTAAAATGAACTTTATAGCAGCAGCACCTACTCTTGTCCTTCTGGCCAACATTGAGGGGGATCCATGAAAGATATACACGAGGGTTTCTCTCTGGGATGGGGAGGGTAGGTTGTCCCCGGTCCTTTCAGAGTTAGTTCTTTTAGAGCTGGAGAGGGCCTAGGGGACCACTCAGTCGAGTTCATTTGCCACACACCCATTTACAAAGGAGGAAATTGAGGCAAAAAGAAGAAATGACAAGCAGAAACTACATAATAAAAGGAATGTTAGAAATTAGGACACACATCTTGTATTACCAGTAAGGGCCCCCCTTGGTGGGCAACCAATGAGTCTCTATGTGATCAAGAGAAGGGTCAACTAAATAGCATGTTAGTTACACACTTCATATTTTTCTCCTTAATAGTTTTCAGTGTAGTGAAGGGAGCCTTCCCTAGGCCCATGGAGCCTTGTGCTCTCTCACAGGTTAACTGATCAACATCAATAAAGTGGGTGTTATGAGCAACCTGTTGTATTGTTGAAATTGCCAAGGCAGATGACTGCCCTGACGTTTGTTACTGGCTCCATAAGCCAATTAAGAAATTGATTGGTCACTCAGAAAGCAGAGTATGAAATAAAAATTTAGATGCTTGAGGAAAAAACCCAAGATGGCAGTATAGGTAAACACCGGAAATTGCTGCCTTGCACAACAACTTCAAAAATACAACTAAAAGATAAAATGGACATCATCCAGAACCACAGGAAGGCTGGCTGAGTGGAAATTCTACAACTAGAAGGAAATAGAAAAGCACACCGAGACTCAGAGGTACGGAGTAAAGTGCAGAGGTACGGAGGCGCATGTGGAAAAGGCTGGCAACTGAGGACATGGTTGTCTTTTTCAATCAGGAGAGACTCTCAAGCTCCTGACTGCTCTGAACTCCAGTTCTGGGCGAGTCTCTGGGGACCCAGACTCATATGTGGAGAAACTGGACTGTTTGGCATTAGTCGTAACTCGAGAGTGGCTTTCTCTCAGAGGTGCTTGCAGCGATTACCACGGGACACTGAGACCGGGGGCCTCTTAGGATAGGACTGAGGAGAAGCCATAGCTGCTGGTGCCACCCTATTGATCCCCTGAGACCTCGCCCCACCCAAGCTGTGGGCAGAAGCTTTTGCATAAGAAAGGCTTGGCCCTTTGCAATCTGAAAATTACCTAACAAACTGCAGCTAGGTCAGAGAGACCCAGAAATTCCAAAAGAAGGCCAAAGGCCCCACAGCAGCTTGCATTGCTTCACAGCTGGGCCTCATCTGGGCACCTCCAAACCTCAAACAAAGAAGAGGAATCTGCAGATCTCTCCATAGCTCCTGCTGGGTAGCCTCAGGCAGAGGCTAAATTAGCACCTCCTTAGAACTCCAAGAGCCAGTGTACCCAGTGGTCAGAGTGGGACCATCCAGATTACAACTTCTCAGATCCATAAGGGACACACTCAGGGGGCAGACTCAGTGAGCACCAAAGCCCCACTGAAGCAAGTCTTGCCTCATAAGGGTGTCTCCAGCACAGAAGTTCTCCCACTGCAGACACAGCTGATTCTCACAGCCAATTGGTCTGGAGGTCAATTCCTCCCAATGATACCAACAACAATCAAGGCTTAACTACAACAAGACTGTGCACAAAGCCCACTCTTGTGCACTAAGAGTGCCTACCTCAGGTAATTGGGGAGGCTGAGCCACTGGTCCCTATAGGACACCTAGCACAGAAAGCCACTCTATCAACACAGGGAAGCATAAAAAATGCGGAGACAAAGAAACAGGTCACAAATGACAGAAATGGAGGAAAGCAAATTACTGGATATAGAGTTCAAAACCACACTTTAAAGGTTTTTCAAGAATTTTCTAGAAACCGTTGATAAATTTAATGAGACCCTCAAGAAATCTAGTGAAACCCTTGAGGTTATGAAAAAGGACCAACTAGAAATTAAGCATACCCTGACTGAAATAAAGAATATTATACAGAGCTCTAACAGCAGACTAGAGGATCACAAGAATCAAGTCAAAGATTTGATATACGAAGAAGCTAAAAACACCCAACTGGAAAAACAAAAAGAAAAAAGAATCCAAAAATATGAAGATAGTGTAAGGAGCCTCTGGGACAACTTCAAGAGTACCAACATCAGAATTATAAGGGTGCCAGAAGAAGAGAGAGAGCAAGATATTGAAAACCTGTTTGAAGAAATAATGACAGAAAACTTCCCCTACCTGGTGAAAGAAATAGACTTCCAAGTCCAGGAAGCACATAGAACCCCAAACAAAAGAAATCCAAAGAGGACCACACCAAGACACATCATAATTAAAATGCCAAGAGCAAAAGACAAAGAGAGTATCCTAAAAGCAGGAAGAGAAAGAAAGTCAGTTACCTACATGGTAGTACCCATACGACTGTCAGCTGATTTCTCAACAGAAACTATGCAGGCCAGAAGGGAGTGGCAAGAAATATTCAAAGTGATGAATACCAAGAACCTACAACCAAGATTACTTTATCCAGCAAAGCTATCATGTAGAATTGAAGGTCAGATAAAGAGCTTCACAGATAAGAAAAAGCTAAAGGAGTCATCACCACCAAACCAGTATTATATGAATGCTGAAAGGTATCCTTTATGAAGAGAAGAAGAAGAAAAAGATAAAGATACAAATTATGAACAACAAATACACATCTATCAACAAGTGAATCTAAAAATCAAGTGAATAAAAAATCTGATGAACAGAATAAACTGGTGAATATAATAGAATCAAGGGCATAGAAAGGGAGTCGACTGACTATTCTCAGGGGGGAAAGGGGTGTGGGGGTGCAGGAAGAAACTGGACAAAAATCGTACACCTGTGGATGAGGACAGTGGGGGCAGGAGGGTAAGGGCAGAGGGTGGGGTGGGAACCTGGTGGAGGGGAGCTATGGGGGGGGGGGGGAAAGAGCAGCAACTGTAATAATCTGAACAATAAAGATTTAATTAAAAAATTTATATGCTTAATTACTAAAAGTGTATGAATCACTTCTTTTTACCTCTTTTTCTTCTTCTTTTCAAAGGCCCAGTGTTGACTGCTTTTGTCCCTAGAGGGGAAAAATAACACAAATGTCTGTTGTTTATAAAATTGCATTGCAAATAGTAGTGTTTTAGAAAAACACCCCAGCTGTATTTCCAGTCAGAACGTTAGCAGTTCAGCAGAGCTGGCCCTGCCATTGCCCCTGGGCCCTGGGTTCTGTTTGTGAATTCATTACCAAGTTACTTGTTTGCAGTGTTATCTTTCAATCCCTGATGAATTTTGGAATTGACTAAATCTGATATATTCCTCAACAGTTAGTATAATTACATAAAGTGATTAGGGAAATAGGTTTGTTACTTAAAGCAAAGAATATAGCATGAGAATTTAGATGTTTTGTAATTGAAAATGTATCCATCTTTAAAAATTTTACCTTTTGGTTTGCTTCTTTTCTTTGGGACTCTGTTATTCAGAGACTGCATACTATCTCTGCCTCTGCTTCTCACTGAAAAAATAAAAAAATAGAAACAGATACTGTGATAAGTCACATAGTATGTAACAGTGCTTTTAAACATTCCATTTTACTGTAACTTTTCAAGAGCCCAACATATAAAGAAAAATATATATCCCATAGCCTTATATTTACCAAGCCTTATATGTTTAAGCAAGTTTAATTTTAGATTTCATTTTCTTTTTTTCTTTATTTTATTTTATTTTATTTTATTTATGTTATTTTATTTTATTTTTACAAAGAGTATTACACATGTCTCCTCCCCCCCCTTGATATTCCCCCGGCTTCCCTCACCCCCCAGTGTCTTGTGTCCATTAGTTATTCTCATATGCATGCATATAAGTCCTTTGGTTGATCTCCTACCCCCCCGATCCTCCCCAGGGTTCCCATTGTAGTTTGACAGTCTGCTCAATGCTGCTCTGCCTCTGTATTCATTTTTGTTCATCAGTCTATAATGGTCCTTATTATCCATAAATGAGTGAGTTCATGTGGTATTTTTCTCTGCTTCCCAGGGGCCGTCTCAGTCTCACAGGGGTCATTTCAGCCTCACAGGGGCCGTCTCAGCCTCACAGGGGCCGCCTCAGCCTCACAGGGGCCATTTCAACCTCACTGGGGTTGTTTCAACCTCACTGGGGCCGTTGCAAGCTCACCGGGCCGTTTCAGCCTCACCGGTCCTATTCAACCTCACTGGGGCCATCTTGACCTCACCGGGCCGTCTCACCGGGGCCATCCCAACCTCGCCAAGGCCGTTTCAACCTCACTGGGGCCGTTTCAACCTTACCGGGGCTGTTGCAACCCCACCGGGGCTGTCGAAACCCCACTGGGGCCGTTTCGACCTCAGTGGTGCCATCTCGACCTCACCGAGGTTGATTCAACCTCACCGGAGCCGTCTCAGCCCCACCGGGGTGGTCTCAGCCTCACCGGGGCCATCCCAGCCTCACTGGGGCTGTCTCAACCTCACACGGGCCATTTCAACCTCACCAGGGATGATTCAACCTCACCAGGGCCGTTTCAACATCACTGGGGCCGTTTTGACCTCACCCGGGCAGTCTCGACCTCACTGGGGCCATCTCGACCTCACCCGTGCCGTCTTGACTTCACCGGGGCTGATTCAACCTCACCGGGGTCGTCTCAGCCTCATTGGGGCTGTTTCAACCTCACTGGGGCCTATTCAACTTCACCGGGGTCATCCCAGCCTCACTGGGGCTGTCTCATTTTCACATGGGCCGTCTCAACCTCACAAGGGCCGTTTCAACCTCACCGGGGCCGTTTCAACCTCATGGGGCTGTTTCAGCCTCACTGGGGCCGTTTCAACCTCACCGGGCCGAGTCAACCTCATCAGGGCCGTTTCAACCTCACCGGGGCCATTTCGACCTCACTGGGGCTCTCTCATCCTCACATGGGCCGTCTCAACCTCACATGGGCCATTCAACCTCACCGGGCCCGTTTCGACCTCACCGGGGCGTGTGTCAACCTCACCGGGGCTGCCTCAGCCTCACGGGGGCCGTCCCAGCCACATGGGGGCCATCTTGACCCTACGGGGGCCACCTCGACCCTACGGGGGCCGCCTCAGCCTCACAGGGGCCGTCTCAGCAACACAAAGTTTGGCATTCTGTCCTTTGTTGGGCGGATCCTTGCTGGACAAAATCTCCAGGCGTTCCTGGTGGCTGAATATCTGGTATGCTTGCTTGGATTTCGTTTTCTACCAAGGGCACAGACTGCCTGTCTGCCGTCTCCCAGCATCCCATGTGAGACTGGATCTGGTGGACCTGCCTGTGCGTTTGCTGATACAGCAGTTCCACAACGCCAGCCCAGTCAGGTCTGGCTCCGGCTTCCTCCTAACCGGATTCTGCTTCTTGAGTGTGTCCCTTATGTATGCGACGAGTTGAAATCTGCATTCTGCTGAGCTGGGCTGAAAAAGCGCCAGTGGTTCTCTTTCTGCCACTAGCACAGCTTGGGTGGGGATGTAAATTGAGTAGGGCGGGATCCCCGGGAATCACCAGGGCAGAGCAAGGGGCAATGGCTTCTCCGAGACTCCTTGCCTCTCCATGACTCCGCGTCTCGTGTCCCCAAGTGCCGGCGAGCAGCTCCACGAGACAGCCATTCTTGCTCTCTGGCCTGTTGCAAGGCTGTCTCGCCTCTCCCCATAGGGATCTGGGACCTCAGGATCCTTCCCCAAACAAGCTCAGTGGATTTGAGAGTCTGCATCCCCTTCTGAATGAAAAAAACCCGCGCATCCAGTTGCAGCCAGCCTGGCGCGCGACTCCACACCTCTGTTCTTGGCGAATCACCAGGGCAGGGCCAAGGGCAATGGCGTCTCCACGACTCCTCGCCTCTCCCTGACTCCAGGTCCTTGCGTCCCCGAGCACTGGCGGGCAGCTCGGCGAGACAGCCACTCTCGCTCTACGGCCCGTTGCAAGGCCGTCCCACCTCTCCCCGTAGGGGTCTGGGACCTCAGAATTCCGCCCGACACAAACTCAGTGGACTTGAGAGTCTGCAGCCCCTTCTGATTGAAAAAAACCACGCATCCAGTTTCAGGCCGCCTGGCTCATGACTCCGTACCTCCGTCCTTGGAGCCTCTGCACAACCTACTCAGTCTCAATGCTCTTCTTTCTTTCCTTCCAGTTGTAGAGCTTCCACTGGGCCAGCTTTCCCATGGTTCTGAATGATAACTGTTTGTTTTATAGTTGGTAGTCTCGATGTTGTTGTGGGAGGCAGCACGCACAGGTCTGTACCTTATGCCGCCATCTTGGTTCTCTAGATTTCATTTTCTTTACCCTCACATTAATCCTAATTTATTTATACCCACATTAATTAAAAAAAGAACTTAAGACAGAGTTGGTACTTCTTTTAAGTATTTATCCAAGAAAAATTAAAAATATGTCCACCCAAATATTTGTATGAACATGCTCCTCATAGTTTTTTTCCCCCAAACTGGAAATAGCTCAATGCCTATGAACAGGTGAATAGATAAATCAACATCTCATTCATACCAGGGATACTTCTCAGCAATAGAAATGGAGTAACTGCTGATACACACAATAATACCAATATGTCTCAACAGCATTATGTTTAGTGAAAAAAAAGAGAGATAAATAAACTATATATTGTATGAATTCATGTATATGAAATTCCAGGGAGAAAAATACAGTGATAAAAACAGATCCACTATTTCAATATCAGGGGGTGCAAAGAGGGACACAAGTGGATATTTGTGGCTGATGGAAATGTTCTATGTCATGATCATGGTGGTTTACATAACTATCCACATGTGTTAAAACATATTCAATGAAACCTTTAAAGTGGTGGAATCTATTGTATATAAATTATATCGCAGCAAATCTAACAGGAAAATTAACAACATGCACAATCTATAGAAAGAAAACTATAAAATTTTGTTGAAGAGCAAAAAAGGTGACGAGTAAATGCATAGGTCGTTCTCCTTTAAAAATGTTTAAATTCTACCCCAAATAATCTTTAAATTCATTGTACTTTCAAATTCCCAAAGGAATTTGGAGGTTTTAGGAGAAAAATCTTGATTAGATTCTGAACACACAGAGGTTCAACATCACTGAACTTCTAAAATCTTTATCTTTTCTATTTCTCCTCAGTGTATGTTTTTTTTTTTTTTCAACAGAAACTATAGTGGGTAGGAAAAGCAAATTTTACTTTAAACCTTTGTAATTAAGCCAATTTTGTACTGAATTATAAACAGACTAGTTTTTCAGAGTAGAATTCTATTCACAGGTCCATGAGTACAGGGAAGGTCACATGAAAGGGCATTTAAAGTGTTGGGGTAATTTCTTATAATTACTATCTCACATCATACACAAGGAGGTGAATGCTGTGTGAACTTCAGATTCTTAAGATCACCCACATTCCCTATTCCCTTCCTCCATCTTAAAAAAAATCTTTTATTAATTTCAGAGAGGAAGGGAGAGGGTGAGAAAGATAGAAACATCAATGATGAGAGAATCATTGATTGGATGCCTCTTGCGTGCCCCCCACTGGGGACTGAGCCCATAACCGGGGCATGTACCCTTGACCGGAATTGAACTGGGACCCTTCAATCTGCAGACTGACACTCTATCCACTGAGCTAAACTAGCTAGGGCCCTTCTTCCATTTTCAGAGCCACAATATTGTGTCTCTCTGACCATTCTTCCTCTCTCCACACCAAAGAAAGATTCTCCATTTTTTTTAAGGACTAGGGGAATATATTGAGGCCACCCTGGTAATGCAGGATAACCTCTCCAATTTTAAGTCCTACTTTAATTAAATCTGCAAAGTCCACTTGCCATGAAAGAGAACAGATTACAGGTTTCAGGAATTAAGACATGGACATCTTTGAGGAGCAATTGTTCTATCTACCACAATATTGTAAATAACAATAAAGATGATGAAACACTGGCATTATAAAATTATTTCTCACATCAAAAGCAAATAAAATCTTATTCTTACTTCTTCTCTTCCTGACTTTTTCTGAAATGGAGTTGTTTCCAAAATCCACAGTACCTACAACAAACAGGTGGTGGTGAGAAAATGGAAATGATTAAATAAAATTTACAAGTTTGCCCTTGCCGTGGTTAAGGCATCAATCCCCGACCAAAGAGCCGCTGGTTCAATTCCTGGTCAAGAGCATGTACCTCGATTGCAGGTTTCATTTCTGACCCCAGTTGGGGCAAGTGGGGGAGGCAGCTAGTCAATGGCAATGTTTTTTTCTCTCTCTCTCTCTCTCCCCTCCTTATTCCCTTTCACTCTCTCTAAAGATCAATGGAAGAAATATTCTCCAGTGAGGATTGAAAAAATAGTTACAAATTTTAGGATGGTTCATACTGCAGAAGGCTTGAGTTTATAAAGGTGTTTGTTTTATTGCTTCTTTCTTCTAAAGTAACCACAACCACAAATTTACTACATTGAGAAGTAGGACTTCAGAATTGGCCCTGGGTCTTCCTTTATTTCTCAATGACATTTTGAAAAATATTCTTAAACACCTTTGTACTCAGAGGTAAGACCAGGCCTCATATCCTTAAGATTTTTATGAAGAGGTTTGTGCAAAAGTTTGTATGACATCACTGTATAAGCCTGTGACATGTTAGAACACAGACACACATAAAAAGTATGTGCTGGGTTGCCTGGCTGGTGTGGCTTAATATTTGAGTGTTGACATATGAAATAGTTCAATTTTAGGTCAGGGTGCATGCCTGGGTTGTGGGCTGATTCCGAGTAAGGGGCGTGCAGGAGGCAGCCTATCCATGATTCTCTTTCATCATTGATGCTTCTATCTCTCTCTCCCTCTCCCTTTCTGAAATCAATAAAAAAAATATATTTTTAAAAAATGTGCTGGGTGAAGAATAGTTGATTTGATGTTTTTTTCCTAACGGTTTAGTGGTAGAATCAGTTGTCTTTTGAGGCTTTGCTAAGATTGTGACAAAATGACACTATTATTGAGAAGCAAAAGAATACTTGGCTTTTATGGGTTCCATAGAATGTTGGTGTGTTATGGATGAATTTCACTGTACAAAATCAAGACTTTATTAATTTTGATTATTACAGTGATTATTATTAATGATTAATTCAGTGATGTAGAAAGCTAAATACTTCCATTTTAGGAGTGTATTTCTACTACATCTCCTGTGACAATAAACAGGGCTATGTTAATCATGACTTTATAATGATATCTTGTTTTCCTGCTAGTCCCAAAAGAATCAGGCTAAGCAAAAAGAATGGGATTGTGCCATGAACTGGACCCATTTTCTGTCAGTGTGCTCAGAGTCAAGTTCAACAGAAAATGGAGCTCTCGTCTCAGACTTCTGACATTCTGCTGCCCCAGTCCTGTGACTCTCACCTTCATAACTGACCCACTTTTCACTGGTGAGCTGCCTGATATTATTGATTCTTGATCACCCATCACTGACATACCAATCATCTATGGTAACTGCTAAATCACCTCTACCCCAAGACCTTGGTTAGCTTTGCCCCTTATGTCAGATGCTTGGCTACTTTCAGTCCCTGCCTCTTGGCCTCTTGGCCTCTTGGCACACCTTATGATGAACAAATAATGCAGAAACACTTCTTATTTCCAGGTATTTCTAACTGTCATGTACAGATAGTTATTCTTTGACTCTGATAATTTCACAAAATGTTTCCTACAGCCCAGCCAGTTTGGCTCAGCGGTTGAGAGTAGACCTATGAACCAGGAGGTCGATTCCTGGTTGGGGCAGATGCCTGGGTTGTGGGCTTGATCTCCATTGTAGGGCATGCAGCAGGCAGTTGAACAATGACTCTCTCTCATCATTGATGCTTCTATCTCTCCTTCTTCATTCCTCTTTGGAATCAATAAAAATATGTTTAAAAAATATTTCCTACAAAAATGCTTCAACTTCAAAAATATTCATTTAAAAAAGATTTATTTCAACAGTTCAGTACTTACCTGGACTGTTGAACCAACAGAAGAATTAAATTTAAAATTACTAGGAAGTAAAGCAGATGACATCTATTGTGGACAACTAACCCAATATTCTAGGCCAGGCCTGCCTGTATAGTCTACACCCTCATATTTCCTTTTTTCCTTATTTAGTCCCTTCTTACCTCACAAATAATATAAGAGGCCAAGCACTCACAATAACAGTTAATGTTTCCTTTTATTCTTAATTTCTGACTGGAAAGAACTTTGGGCATCATCTTTAAACCTACTTCATAGGTCAAAACATAAAACTGATTACACATATAGTCAAGTATGTTGAATACCTGGTGATATCAGACCAAATAAAGATTTGAAAGAATACTTTCTCCCCTTGGGTAGGAATTGCAATGACCACCCCAAAAACAGACAACCAGAAAAATGTTTAAATTTCTTTGCATGCGTTACATTAGACAACAGAATTACTCTTGACCAAATCTTTCCTGAACAAACTGGGATTTGCTCTATTGCTAATACCTCCTATTATACTTGGATGAAACATTTCTGATAAAATAAAAATTAAGCTAGATAAAATGTAGGTATAAGCAAAATAATTACATACAATGTCCACTGATACCACATGTTTGTTTAATATTTTCATGTGACTGCCTGTGGCTCAGTGTCATAAAGATGCTACTCTAATAGTGGTTGCTCAACATTTTTTAAATGGTCACTAAGGCCTTTGAGACTTCATATGAGAAACCTTAAGGGACGATAGATGTTTTCCCTTAAATTAACATGACAGGAAAGCCTTCCTCTGTTCTGATGCTCTTGTGGCTCAAATGTGGCCTATCGCTCGTAAGAAAAGAGAAAACCACTCTTTTTCCTATGTGACATGCAATACTGGGAATGAGCCTTCTGGCAATGAGGGACCAACAATGGCATAACATTCCCAAACTGAGCCATCTGACAATGGAGAACCAATGATGCTTTTAATAACTGATCAGTGCTGCTTTCTTTTTTTTTTTCTTTAAAAAATATTTTTATTGATTTCAGATAGGAAGGTAGAGGGAGAGAGAGATAGAAACATCAATGAGGAGAATCACTGATTGGCTGCCTCCTGTATGCCTCACTGAGGATTAAGCCAGCAACCCAGGCATGTGCCCTGACTGGGAATCCAACCATGACTTCCTGGTTCATAGGTTGACCCTCAACCACTGAGCCACATCAGCCAGGCGATCAGTGCTGCTTTCTGATAATTAATCAGTTATGCTTTCAAGGAAAGCTCTTGATCAAAAGGTAAAATTTGTAAAATGATATATAAATGAAGCCACTTTAAAATTTGTAAAATGATATATAAATGAAGCCACTTTAAATTGCCATGCCAGAATAACTGCATTGCATGTCTTATGCTTCAAACATTTGCACTGTTAGAACAGGGCAAAATACCCTTGGGACTGGACTTAAAGCAACATTGAGTCTCAAAGAATTGTTTTCAAGGATAGCAAGAAAACAGACATGACTTTGGTACTGATGACTACCAGGCTGAAAATTAAAAACATCGCTTATAATTAGCATCACTATATTAGCTCATCTTCATCAATAGAAATGCCTTTCTTCTATTGATGTAAACATTCCCCTTCCATTTCTCATAAATATCTCTGGACTTTGTCTCCTCATTGGAACACTTTTTATGCTTCTGCCTGAATAAGTGCTTTTCTGAATCCTTTGACCTCAAATAAGTGCTTGTTGCCTCTCACTTTGTAAAGCATTTTATTTTCAGGTAAACAGTTTCCTAGAAGTAATAGAATGAAGGCATATGGAGGATACTCAGAAAAGATTCCTGAAGAAAACAAAGCTCTAAATTTTGATGCTGGATACCTGTCATCTAGGAGTGCAACCTTAATATTAATATCTTGTTAGCATTGTATGCAGAGGGCTTCTTGGGTTGCTCCTCGCCCACTTATTTCTAATGAGTCCAGGGTATTGATCACTGCATAAAGGAATAACATCCTTTGTGTGTCTCAGTGAGTGGCCAAGGAACCAACCCCACAGGAAATTCACGAATGAGAAAACTTGGAAAAATCTTGAACACCCATGCAAATCATGGCCTGCATCCAGGCCACCTGGTCTGTCCTCCTAAGTCACTTGCCTTGTGAACTATTGGTCCTCTATTTCCTGTCCCCAGAGTTGAGACAAGTCACTGCTCCGTTGAATATTACTTTCCCATACTTCTCTCTCTTCTTCCTCTTTCCCCTTCTATTATCTATTCGTTCTTAAATACTTTCTCAGTATATTTTCCTAAATAGACATGTTTCCAATATCTTCTGAGAAAGTAGGAAGGGAAAACCCATCACCAGTCTGTGCACTAAAGAGCTGCTGGTCTTATGACCACTGGTGCTGCCCATAGGATTAGGGAAACAATGTTTTATTAACTGCTTCAAGCTCTAATTTTACAAAGGATATAACACAGAATCCAGGAAGCTAGTCTTGTCTTTCCCTTTATCTACATGTAACTTTGTAGGAGATTTTAAACATTTATGTGATTTTATTTTCTCATTTAGAAACAAGAGTAACAATGGCCATCTTTCTCACTCAGGGTTGTTGTAAAGGAAAAGGTAAGACACTATTTGCAAAGATCCTTTGTAAAGTCATTCCATATGTCATGACTTTCAGGAGAACTCTCTAAAAAACAACACTTTGGGTTTTAAAAAACTATCCATTTCTGCTAAGACAGGAGAGCTGGAGGAATTGACCCTCAACACTACTCAAACTTTGTGATTAGACAACAATATGACCTTCCAATAAAGAAATATTTAGCTTTCTCCTTTCTGTAGAAATCACTGTATAAATCCAACACTTTGTATAGGATGAACTCAGAATTGATGCCTCAGGAAACAGTGCCTCTTAATTGAGGTTCCTGTACCTCAAACCCTGAGCTCCCATCTCCTTACCTGGCTCCCTTTTCAATGCTGAGGTGGAAGCTTCAGGGGGCTCACCTCCATCACTGGATTCTCTGGAGTCCTCACTGTTGATCTCTGCACAAAGGAGAAAAAACCCATAGTGTCTCAGGGTGGGGTCATGGCAACCACTGAGTGGAAACCCCTTCATGGGAGCATTAGGAAGACCTAGAAGCCAACTTAACTCAGGTCTCTCTGGTCTGTGCCTGATGTGGGTGACCTGCAGGTTGCTTCAGGTCCTATCCAGAAGGTGATGAAGTTCATCCACAGGGGCAGCTTTGCCCAACCTGAAGCACTTTTCTGCCCCCACCCCTGCTCAGCTTGCTATCCTCATCCCCATTCTACCTCAACTCCATGTTCACTTTATCTCTTACCTCCACTCTCTTTCTATCTCCCCCCTCATTCTACTTCTTTCTTTCATTCTTTCTTTGTATCATTCCAAACATGCCTAAATATTTATTAGCTAGAAAGATGGATCAGAGAGAAGTATATAGTGTAACTTTTAAAAATGGCTTCAAATTATATATTTTTAATATATATATATTTATTATTATAATTTTAAATTTAATTTATTGGGGTGATACTGGTTCACAAAACCATATAGGTTTCAAGTGCACAACTCAATAAAGCATCATTTGCACACTGCTTCATTGCCCATCACCCCAAGCAAAGCCTCTTGGTTCAGCCATTTTTGCTAATGGTGCTGGTTTCTGGCAAAGGTATCTCTCTTTATACTTTTCCTTGTCTTCATGTGAGTGTTTTTTTTCTTTCTCATCTCCTTTCATGAATATGTTTGCTCTCTGAAAATTTTCCTTTTTCTTTAACTCTTATCCCAATACCTTCCTTTCTTTGGATATATAATATACTCTCTGATATCAATATTTTAATTTACCAATTACTGGGGTTGTGTTTCTGCTGGATTCCCTGCATAAGGCACTTGTTCCCTCCCCTTTCTACCTCTAACCAAGGTCACCAGGACTGTCTCCATGGGCCCTGATGACATGTCCCAGACCCTTGCCTGGAACTGGGATTCACATCACATATTCTTTCCGTCAGCCTTACCTATTACATCAGACGCCTGGTTACAGCCAGTCCTTGCTTGGGTTTCACATTCAACACCTGAATATAAAAATGGCATTTTCTTCTTTATATCCACCAGGTCTACAGAGCAGGAACTGGTTTTGTTTCCATGGTGGAGTAGCTCTGCTCCTGGACAAAATTGTAATAAATGAAGAATTTCATTAGCCTCCCCTAAGGGAGTGAGCACCCTCACGACAATCAATAAGCCCTTCTCCCTATAATTCCACTGCAGGGGACAGCTCCCCCAACCCTGTCCTTTCTCTGTGCCTCTCCTTTTTATTTTTATTTTTTTAAAATATATTTTATTGATTTTTTACAGAAAGGAAGGGAGAGAGATAGAGAGTTAGAAACATCGATGAGCCAAAACCGGTTTGGCTCAGTGGATAGAGCGTCGGCCTGCGGACTGAAAGGTCCCAGGTTCGATTCCGGTCAAGGGCATGTACCTGGGTTGCGGGCACATCCCCCGTGAGAGATGTGAAGGAGGGAGCTGGACGATGTTTCTCTCCTCATCGATATTTCTAACTAATCTATCTGTCTACTTCCTATCCG